GTGTGTTCCAAAATAAAGGAAAAACACATTATGCTACGTTCATAAAATGGGATATCAAAAAACAATGAAAACTGTAGTCTCAGGAAAGTACAGATGGCGTTGGAATATTCTTAGTGTACCTTTTAAAAGTACAAGAGAGAGAACTTTTTTTAGCATGACTTTGGTCAGCTGTGCAGATATAGATATTCTCTTTTATTTCCCATATTTTCTGAGCTAGCCTCTATTTCAAGAAAGGTTATTTTGAAAACAGCAACAGGTTTCTGAAAGAATCTCACAATTTCAATACTGAAGCTTTAATCTTCAACATTTTATCCAGTATCTTCTCTTAGTAATGTTCTTTAATTTTTCAAAGGTTCATATTTTATGGACTTTGTTTCAATTCAGTTTGAAGAGATTTTTTAAAGGATAGAAAAGAAGCTTTCACTTTGCAAATGTCAATCATTTACTCTCTTGGATTCTCTATTTCAAGTTTTCTGACCTGGTGGAGGTATTTCATATTTCTCTTAACTCAAAGCCATTGAAGATATCATCTAGGTCTAAATTGCTGTTGACAGAAACTCAGGTAGGATCTGGGCTTGGGAATTCTTAGATGATCTTAACCTTGTGAGTGCTACTGAAACAACCCAGACCCACAGGGAATGTCCTCTTCCCTTGGAACCCTAATTTAATACTCAATGATAGATATTAATTCCTAAATCCTTCAATTCTGACTAAAATTTGGATGGACAGCTAATATTCTAACTTTCAGGTTTATTTAGACACGATAAAATATTAAAAGTTTTTATAAGATACAAAGACCATAATTTGAACAATTAACATAATGACACAACTAGTAGCTGAATGTAATATTAGTTTTTTGTTATTAACTCAATTTTTAGAGAAAAATCATGTTGAATAGACAAACTAAAAATATATCTGTAAAAGGCTTTATGATTTAACTCATAAAGTAATAAAGAAGAAACTATAACACTACAGTAACATAATGAATGTTTATATAAAAAGATACAGCTTATTCTACCTAAAGTATTTATGAGTGGAAATCAAATTTAGATAAATCAATAACTATTTAGCCCAGAGGAGCGATAGTGGATTTCTAGTTTATTATCTTTTTTTAGGTTGCCCATTTAAGATTTAATGATGACTTAGCTTGTGCAAATATACCAATGCATGAGCCTGGAGCTTCAGCAATGAATTATTCCACAAAGAACTCTTTTCAACTCAGTCCAGATCTATGCTGCAAGTAAAAACTCAAGACTCCTTTTACAAGTGAAGTAAAAACACGTATCAATCAGAAAGACAAATTACTCTCCATATCAAAAGCCCAGCCCCTACGGGTTCTGGGGCTAGTGATTTTCATCAACTCAGCAAAACCCAAACTCATTGTGCTGCACATACATCTGCTCCTGTTCCCTGTTCTTTCCTCAGACTCTCTCCCTGTGCCCCAAGTCCTTTTATGCCGGCCAACACCTTAAACGCCTTCATATATTTCAGCTAAAATCACCATGCTCAAGCCTCATTTCTATCTTCTTATATCACCTGTGTTCTCAATGCACTGCAAGAACATTCCATTCTTGCAGATTCCCACTGCCTGTACTTCCTCTATGTGCAGAGCTCTAATTCTACCAAAGCTAACTCCTGCATCAGATCCACCACTCAGCAGCTTCCACCCACTTATCCAGCCTGCAGCCTGGTTGCTTCACTTTTGAAGCTGCCCACTTCAGCAGATGACTGTGGTTCTGTTAAGAATACAGACGTTGACTGGAAAGACTCAAGTCTCACCAGAGCACTTCATATCCTCACCAATCTCCTTTCTTCCTTCCATTCCCAGCAAAAATCATGCTTCCTATCACTGCTTCACTTAATACATATCAAGTGGGCACCTGCTCCATGCCAGTTCCTTGGCATTAGGAGTGACAGTGTTTTCTTAGTGCTTGGGAACAAGTAGAAAACCAATGTAAAATAAAATGGTGATTTCAAAGATGACATGAACCCTAAAGACAACAGGACAAAGTAAAGTTTGACAGGTGGGTCAGATTTTAGATAAAGAAGTCAGGGAAGGACACAACACAGCGTGCAGAATAAGGAGTTGGGCCATAAGAAACTCACATGGAAGGACACTCTGGGCAGAGGGCGGCAAGCATAGAAGATGCGGGGGCAGGAGAGGGTGTGAGCTCTCATCAAGCACCTGGATCCCTGTGTCCACAGGCTTAGGAGGGCTGTGCTAAAGATTTCTTTCACATCTCTCAGATGGCCTGCATCTATTATCTACTATTCTTCACAAGTACTTCAAAATGATACGTGTTCAACCCAGAAGTTTATTCTCTTGAATCCCTGCTGATCTTTGGAACTACATTTTCCTTTTAACATCAGAGCTTTCTATCACAGCAGTACTAGCTCGTCTCCCCTTCCTCATTTGTCTCTGCAACTGCATCTCTGTACACACTACCATGTTCAGTGCTCTAGCCGAGATCATCTGTCACTCCTCAGTTCCCAACCCAGTGTCCTTTCTCTAACCCTCATCCTTCCTGATTTCCAGGCACATTCTTGAAAGATCTCTTTCCTAAACAGTCTTATCTCTATTTCCATGAGCATGTGTTTTCTCATATTTCTCTTTTCCTTGATGATCTTTGACTGTTTCCTCCCCAATCTCTCAAACACAGCTGCTCCCTAAGTTCTACCTTCCATTTTCCTCCCTCCCTTTTTTCCTCTCCTTAACAGTTTTGCTGACTCGCAAGGCCCAAGCTAGCAGATACCTCCAACAGCTGTTTTCCTCCAGTCCCAACTTAGGTTCTCCATAAAGATTCTTGCATAAGTTTCAATTCAGCTTCAACAGTACAGTTAGTGTAGTGTGACACTTCAAACGCCATCTACTCTTGACTGGATTCATCTTCTTTTGTTCTCACATGATTACAAGGTGAGTCTGCACCGAGCAAGGCCACTCAAGACCATCTCTGCACTGATTCTCAAGCTTGCTTCCTTATCCTGTTGCCACTGACACTCCCACTACTCCTCATTACCTTGGGTGCATGCACGAAGCCCCTCTTGCTTAGACTCTTTCAGTGTCATCAACTTCCATGGCTCTTGTCCTTGGTAACTCTGAGAGGATGTTTTACCTAATGATTGCTTGAATTCTAGCACTTTAATTCTCAAAACCTTTTGGTAGTTTTTCACTATTCACCCAGTAATTCCATTTTTTTTTCCACTTTGGAGACTTTCAATGACCCAGTAAGCCAATCTTTAAGTTTAATCACTATTTTCTTTGATTTGTGTATGTACATTTATATACACAATTAGTTTTTTGTTATGTCTTTGACCTGGAAGATCAACCCCTATATCTACTTGGCAAACTGCCTATTCTATGTGGTTCAAATGACATTTCTTCCAGTTAATTGCTATAGCATAAAGTAATTTTCCTCAAATCCCACTCAACCAGCATTATGGTTTTCTCCATTCCCCCTCTGCCTTCCCTGTGTGTGTGCTGCAATCCCTATCATTTCATGATCTGTTTGATTTCATGTTCATCACCCTTCTTCCTTTTTTATCTTCTCATAGTGCACAGGATGAAGACTTCTTGGATGTAGGAAATCTACCATAAATATTTAGAAAATGACTGACTCATGAGGAAATGGGAGATACGGATTTCAGAAAACTCATTATAAAGCTTCTTACCAACAAGAAGCACATACAGGAGTTCAAGGAATTTAAGGAATATCTCACACAGGAAATAGCAACACTGAAACAAAATTAAGCCGGATTGTTGGAAATAAGGGACACAACAGAGCAAATTAAAAATATAATGGAAGGTCTCAATAATGGCATGAAGAAATGGCAGAAGAAAGAATCTCAGAATGGGAAGACAGTTCTTGTCACAATGGGGAAACAATCAAAAAGCTGAAGGAGACACTGAGTCAACTAAGAAAATTATTTAAGAATTAAGGGACACTGTTAAAAGGCCAAATATAAGAGTTATGGGAGTTCCAGAAGGTACAGAAAGAGAAGCTGGATTTAAAAAATGTAGTCACTGAAATAATAAATGAAAACTTCCCGATTAGGACAAAGAATTGAGAAACAGAACACAGAAAGGGCACAGAACTCATAACAGATCTGACCAAAAACGATCTTCACCACAACACATGATCATAAAGGACAGTCTGTTGAAATGTGATTTTTCAGATGAATTAAGGTGCTTCATAAACAAATGGTATAATGTTTTATATTGTTTGAAGTTAAGCATTATTTAAATGTGAAGAAGAGGTGGGAAAATTGAAAGGATTCAGAGGATTCTTAAAATATCCTTTTCAAGTTTCTTATCCCCCTAAATACAGACTGGCCTTAAGGAAATTAAGGGAAAAGTTACAGCTATTGTGATTAAGAGCACTTCACAGTTAGTGCCTGATTAAAACATTTATAACTTCTTAAAATACCTAAGAGTATTTCACATGGTGCTTTGAATACAAGTCAAAATATCTAAATATTATATTGGATTTTACATAAGTAACATATAATTCCAAAGATATTTTGCTTACCTCTGCCGAATTATCAACCTGGAAAAATATATCATCATTTATGTTACACCGTTATTAAAAACTATCACATCTAGAAATGATTTTTAGTAAATCTAGAAAATACAAGAAACTTAGTCTTAACCTGGAAAAAAGTAGCATAATAGTCCAAGCACTCCTGGACAACATAATACTGGATAATATTATATTTTTGCTTTGCCACAATGTGTGTTTAGTTCCTATGGAATGGAATAGTGTCATATAAACTCTTTCACAAAAATCAAAGGAAAAGCTGGGAAACTTCCTAAACTAACTAACTCAGAGTGGAATTTAGAACAGAGGAAGACACTTAAATTGCTTAATTAAAGAATTAGTGAACTTGAAGAGTAATTCTTTGGATAATCTTTGAGAGATTAAATATGAGGATGGTATGGGTGGATCATAGATATGAGTTCAATACATATGTTTTATGTGAATAAATCCCCCAGGATGGCTTACCTTTTCCAGTGTCATCTCTGTCTCGGCGGCGTGCGTCTTCTTCAGCTCCAGCTTCATCTTCTCTGACTCAGCCTTCATTTTGCTGATAGCCAGCTCATGGTCCCTTGCTGTCCTTTGCTTCTCTTCTTCCCGAAGAAGACCAAGCTCCACCAGCTGCTGCTTTCGCTGTGAGTTCACACTAATCAGCTCCTCTCTCAGCTTGTGAACTTGGGCTTCCATGTCAGCAATAACCTTGTTTTCAAAAATGGAAGAGTGGACAGTGGATATGAATAGGACACTCGAGGAAGGCCAATCAATGCAGTGCAGCAACACAAAGTTCCTCTGGCTCCCTCCCCCTTCCCTCCTTCTGCATTCTCAATCCCACCCAGGACATTTGCTTAATTAATTGTATTCTTAAACAACGTGGCTTTAGTTTTAATTCTTTCTAATATCTATGTACATGGACTAATTCTTGCTTTTGTAAATCTTGAGCAACATTATGTTCCTAAAATAAACCCGCTCTTTTGTCTTTTTTTGTCATTGTACTTTCATTGATCTCTCCTTTTATATGAAAAAAAATCAGTATCATCAATCATTAGAGAAATGCAAACTAAAAGCAGAATAATAAACCACCTTACTCCAGTTAAATTGGCTATTACCAAAGAGACAAAAAATAACAAGTGTTGGTAAGCATGTGGAGAACTTTCACATGCTGCTGGTGGGAATCTGCAGTAATAAAGCCACTGTGAAAAATAGTAGTGAGGTTCTTCAAAACACCAGCAACTGGATTACCATAGGATCCAGCACCCCAGTCCTCGGCATATATACAAGGGAAATGAAATTAGTCCACTAGAGACATATCTGTCCACTCCTATGCTTACTACAACACTATTCACTAATGAGTGGATAAACAAAGTGTGTTACATATGTTCAGTATGAAAAAGGATGAAATCTAGTTATCTTGCAGCAACCATCTCAAATGAAGTAAGCCAAACACAGAAAGACAGTTCCGGATGATCTCACTGCGGGTTCGGTAATCTCACGGAAGTTAAAAGTTTAACCCGGGTTATCAAACGCAGGGAAAGGCAAGGGGCAGAGGGAGACTGGTATAAATATTAACAGATATTATGGTTAGCAGTAGTAGGAAGCTATAAGGTTCTACTGTACTGTAGCATGATCATATATGTTAATATGCCACACATTTATGAAAATGCAAAAAAGACTGTAAGAATTCTAGATGTTTTCATCAAAAAGAAATGTTAAAAGTTTGAGAAGACATATTTTACCCCTAACTGGGTAAACACATATGCATGTTCTGAAACATCAGATAGTACAAATATGCATACTTTTAAGATTAACCAGTGTAAAATGGAAGAAATAATTGGGGTATAAGAACACTTTTCAAGCTAGGACACAGTTAAATGGTTGGTTTTGTTTAATTACTACTGATAAAATTGTGGCTAAAGAATGCAGTTTGTTTTTCATTATTTTAGGAGAATAATCTTTTAAAAAATGTTTTTCAAGATTCACTGTATTTATTTGAAAAGCAGAGGTACATAGAGAGGGAGGGAGAGACAGACAGACTTTCCATCTGTTTGTTCATTCCCTAAGTGGCTGCAATGGCAAAGGCTGTGCCAGGCTGAAGCCAGGAGCCAGCGTCTGGAGCTCATCTGGGTCTCCCACAAAGAAGGAAGCTAGGATGATTTTTTCCAATACAACTGTTCTGAATAGTCTGAGAAGAATTGGAATTAGCTTTTCCTTAAAACTTTGGTAGACTTCATCAGTGAAATCACGGTCCAGTTTCTTGAAGTAGGCACTGCTTGTTACAGAGTTTCCTCTCAACACTGCCGTATAGCAGAGGCTGTTACATATTATGTTCTCATTTCATTTCTTTCTAGGAATTTTGTTACTTCCTATTTTGACGTCTATGACCTAGTGTTCACTCAGGAGCATGCGTTCAGTCTCCATATGTTTGCATATTTTCTCGAGTGTCTTGTGTTGTTAATTTCTAGCTTCATTCCATTGTGTTAAGATATGTGACATCATTTCAGTCTTTTCGAATTTGTTGAGGCTTGCTTTATTGCCTAGCACAGGCTCCATCTCAGAGAAAGTTGCATGCACTGATGCAAAGAATGTGTATTCTGTAGCTGTCTGAATGCTCTGAAGGTATCGATTAGGTTCATTTGGTCAACAGTCTCCCTCTAGATACCTTACCATCTCTTTTAAATAGTTAAGAACCCTAAATTGGGTGCATCTATCTTTACTATACTCATATCTTCCTGTTGAATTGAGCCTTTGATTAGTATATAAAAACACTGTTAATCCATTTTAATAATTTATTCTTTTAAAGTCCATTTTTGTCTGATAATAGGATGGCTATTCCTCTTTGTTTTTCGTTAGCAAGGAACTATTCACTTTCTGTATGTGTATTTGTTGGTGACTTCTGTTTCTCACAGTTACAAAATAGATGGGTCTTACTCTTTCATCCATTCAGCCAGTCCGAATCTTTTAATTGGATAATTTAGGCCATTTACATTCAAGAGTCTTACTAATAATTAACAGATCGGTCCTGCCATTTCCCATAAAGATTCCTGCTGTTTTGAATTTTCCTTATACTAGGAAACTTTCGGCCTTTGTATTCTTTCACGATGCTGTCTTTATCTGTTTCCACGTGTAGCACATCCTTAATCATTTGCGAGACTGGACAAGGAGTGACAAACTATTTCAATTTTTGTTTTGCAGGTCTTTATTTCACCTTCATCTGCAAAAGCGACATTTGCTGGTCACGGTATTCTGAGCTGAGTACTTGGACTATGTCTGCTCTCTCCTAGCCTGCAGGGTTTCTGATTTCAATCTTATTGCAGATCTTTTGAAGAAAATCTGACATTTCTCTCATGTACATTGTAGGACCTTTTCTTTCCATTTTGTTTCGAAAGACTTAACATAATGTGTCTTGGTTAAGGCCTTTTCTGATCATGTCTACTAGTTTTTTGCGCTTCGTCTATGTGGATGTGCTTCTCTGTGTTTTTCAGAAACGTTATGAGCTTTCTTTTGACTTTTGCATTTCATCAATCTCTTCATCTTCACCTTGTGATATTTTAGCATTGTCGTGCTCCTCTGGGCAGTTGCAATGTCTTTGTTGTTCATGATTCCTGCATTTCTACATTTATTTTTAGGCATTGTGGAAACACTTGTTGGTTCCTTCCTCTGATGGCTTTGAAATATGCCTCTGTGGTTAATGGAGTGTTTGTTCCTTTAGCGGACACCCAGACGCATGCGCTGTGTGGGTCCGAGGAACTCAGGCCAGTGCTCAGGGGTGGAGCAAGAGTCCAGAGTGACTCCCAGGCCAGGCATGGCCGACTTCTTTATTATCAGTAATAGGGTGGGGACAGTCACATCGGTTGGGGAGGATCATAGCCTTAGCCTCTTTCTGCCAAGATGAAACAAATTCTCACAGCGATCCCACAGTGCCGCTGCACTCCACTAGACAGGCACACGAACTCACAGTCTGTGTACTTCTCAGGGTGAGTGTACAGCCCTCTGCAACGAGCATGCCCAGCAGTCAGGAAACTGAGACTCTTAAGCCAGACACAGGAATGCCCAAAGGCCCACCCACACCCCACTATCAGAATTCTCAGTAACAGGGTGCAGGGTTCCCACAATTACAGGAAGCAAGAGAGCCACGCTCACCCTTGCAAGCCTTCCCCATCCACAAAGAGACCTGCAGCATATCCAGAGACAGATGCCTGCTTGAAACATATTGGTTAGTGTTCCACAGGAGCCTTAACAAAGTGAGGGAAAGAAGCGCTTCATGGGCTTAAGTGGGTGCCACAGGCCAGACTCACAGTCAGTGGGGACTTTTCTCTTCAATAATAATGATAAAAAATGGAGGACCTATCCCTCCAATAAAATTCCCTAGTTAGGCATGGGCTGCAGCAGCCTCTACTTGCCTGATTAAGAGGATACTTTCTCCCTGCTGGTCACCAGGTGCCTTGGTGCACATGCTCTTCCTTCACAGGGCTAAGTGGGCACTCTGACCCCTGCTGGTACTTCAGGCCAGATTCAATGTCAGCGGCAATCACGTTTCCCCTCAGGCAGTATCACCGAAGGTGTGAGCTGCCACAGGTTCCTCTCACCTTGCTTCCCCTCCAGGTACGGGGGGGGGGGGGGGGTAAGGTACTGGTGGCATCCTGTTCACCTGCATGACTGTGTGGTAGCCATGGCTCCAACATATGTCTTCAGAATTTCCATTGCAAATTCCTCACAACTGTCCTCTGGGAATATAGTTCCTCCCCTTTTCTTTTGTGATCATCCCACCATCATCATCAGTGTCTCTCCCTATTCAACTGTCTTGGATCTTGCTAGACATATCTCTTCTAGATGCTCTATAGAATTTAAAATTTAATCGCTTGTCTTCTAATTAAATCATTATTCAAACTGGTCTGTACATGCTAATATAGTAACACTCATTTTCCCAATTCAATCTATGCTATTTGTCCTGCATTTTGTATATTTAATTTTTCCTACTTTTTGTCATTTCATTCTAGATGGAGAATTCTTTTTCCTCCAATTTTGTCTTTACCCATTTAGAAATCACATTGCATTTTCTCTTAGTGGTAGCAACAATGTTCCTCAAGCATTCGACATGGGAAAATTTTAATGTTAATTATTTTTACCTCCTTATGAACAACAAAAGAAATACATGCAATTTTGAAATGTGGTTGGCCTCTTTCAGGTTTATATGCTACACTTACTTTCCTTTATTATTTTAAATCCATTTAAATTTTTAAATTATATATTACATATGAGACAAAACTATTTTTTACTGTATGGCTAAAAATTCCACTTGAACTACCCTGGTCAGTAGTTTTCAGAGGAAAAGTTGATCAAATCTCATCTACAAGCTCCGAGATGAACAGTTCAGGAAACCCTGTATTGCCACCAATGCATTAGTTATAAATGAAGCTCTTCCCAAAGCACGGCAACTGTATTATACATGCTATAGTTTCAAAAAACACTGCGTAAACCTTCACTGCCATGGCTGGGAAAGCAGAAAATCCAACATGGCAGTAACACAACATTAGCATTCTGGGAAAAGGAACAGAACTAAATGATGAAAAATTGCTTTGCTGATCAAAATATCTACAACAATTATTTCAGTTTCAAGAAAAATACTACAAATATGTTGTTTGGGATGCTAATAGTTTCATCATTTCTTTATAACAGTTCATAGAAATACTATTTATTTCGTA